TTGAAGTTGATAATCCTACTGTAACTGCTATTAAGCATGAACGAGGACCCTTGCTTTTAGTTTACTTGGCTCAAATTTTTTGATATGAGATATATTTGTTTGGTTATCTTCAGGATGTATTGTATCTTTCATACTTGGAAAAGGTTTTTGTTTCTCATTGTTGAATGCAAAACTTGCAAGGAGAAACAGTTTTTTTGTTTTTTTTGTTTTTTTTTTTTTAATTAAAAAAAAAAACCTGTTGAAACCCTAGTTTCTCATTGTTGAATGCAAAACTTGCAAGGAGCAACAGTTGTGTACAGTTCCCTTTTATTTATCCAAACATATGGAAGGAGAATCAAAAGTCCCACCAGAGATGTCCAGCTTTAGCTTTGTACATATAGGAATCAAATCCCAACAGTCAATACACACTAATTTGCTATTCTGCTGTATTGAGGTCTATGCATCACTTAAAATGTATTATACAATCTTATCACGATGACTATCACTATCCAACAGTTTTCACACAATCCTGCTGTCCCTGTATTACCTCTAATTTGAGCCGTAATAACAGTGCAATAGCAATAACAGCATGTGAAACTTATTCTAATGTTTTTAAAAAAAAAAATTTAGTTCATTCTAATTGTTGCTAGATATTATGTTATTACATAGCCACCAATGGCTTCTCACTTCTTTAAACTAAGGTCTGTTAGACCTTTCTCATGTTTTCCAATTGCAATATGCTTCATGAATCCAAACATTTTCTTTTGCTTTCAAATAGTGGATGATAACTGCTGGCTTTTCCATTTATATGCATATTAATATATATATATATATATATATATATATATATATATATATATATATACACCATTTTGCAGAAACAATTCAAGCAACAGAACATGAGTCATTTGTAGATCAGGCTACAGCCAGTGTTTGAGATGGTTCACGGCTAGTGCCTCCTGTCCAAAACGAACTTGAACATTTAATGCTGAGGCGTGCCTTTTACATACAAATATTTGGTTATGGAGTTTTTTTTTTTTTGGTTAAAAGGTAAGCTAGCTTGCGTATAAATAATGTAGAAAATGTACAAGAAGTCCCAATTATAGTAGGGACAACAAAATATGAAACAAAATATGAAACAAAATATCCAACACCACCCTCGATTTGGTTATGGAGTTGCTAAACCTTCCCTAAAATTCATTTCATCAGAGAACCAATGTGATGGAGATGCAGCTAATTAACACAACAGAGAGAGTGTTTTTTGTTTTTTTGATAATTCAACAGAAATAATAGTATGAATACACTTGGTTTGCATTTGAAACTATAGCTTTTGGTTATTTAATTTTGAGCAAAGATTTTACACAATTGTGATTGTGTATATATATATACTTGGACATGAATCAAACACTCTATTCAATTTCAGTGGAGGACCAATCAGACTTGCAACATGTGAGTTAATGCCACCAGGGTCTTTGCAAATGCCAAGGGAATCCTCATGTGCGCTGAATGTTCCTCTTTATTCAGTGCAAAATTGTACCCTACCATTCGTATCTGCGCGCATGAAATAGTACATAATAACCCATCATTGTAATTTATAAACATATGTCATACTCTTCCCATTTTCCTGAAAAACTATCAAATAAATACCCAATCCTCCTTTTTTGGGGCGTTTGGATCAGCTCGATCTATAAAGTTATTGCACTAAACATGACAATGACGACAATGACAAATTTAAGTTGAATTTTGCTGCAAGAACAAGTAGTAGTGCAGACACTAGCTAGACAACATCTGATGCATGGCTATTACTAGTAGTATATATAGGTAAGTCAGGCCCCTGCCACGATCTGTCCAAAAATCAACTAGAGCATCCGGTGTGGGCAACACAAGTTATCTATTTACTTTTTGAAAAATAAAGTGTCACGTAAGTTAAAAAGTGATGATATAGTACTCTATTTTTTTTAATCCATATGTGCCATGGTGTGGAACCCAATTATCTCATTCTCTATTTATTATTTTATTAATTGCCTTTTGCTTTTTTCCTTTCCGTCAGATTGATTAAATAAAGGAAACAAAAAATAGAGTGTTCTCCAAAGGTTTCTCTATCTGTGGACAAAGGCTTAGACAATGATTGTAGGTCCCACAAGATAGATACTCCACTTCTCTCACCATACCGTCCACTTCTCTCTCTTACTTCTCTCTCTTAACTGACACAGATATACTCTAAAGAGAGTGCCGCCCTGGATGCTCTTACTAGTATAAGCCACAACTTCTTTATTAAACTTTAGAATTTAATTTTTGTATTATCTTCCAATATAAAAGGTTATTTATTTATTTATAAAATAATCCACTTAATAATAAAAATCTACGCTAATTATTTATTTTGCATCTCAACAAACATAAAGAATGTGAAAAAAGCTTAAGTCACAAGCCAAACACTAGGAAGAAGATAGAGCATGCTTCCTTTCAATTTACTAAAAATATGAGGACCAAAAAACAAAGAGGATTTAGAAACAAAGACTGCACCATGTGAAAATAAGCTTGCATTTTTTAATTCCACCATGCGGTGTTAGCTAAGACCTGCATTGCAAATTTGCAAGTGGGTGTGCCCATTTTCAGAAGTGGCTCAAGCCATTGCGGCCCCAGTCCATCCCAAATCTGTACTCTTTTTGAGAGGTGCTATTCCCACTCTTTTTAAATGTCTCGTAGTACTGTTTCTTTAAAAAAAACAAATTTCATCTAAATATACTTATAGCAATGAAGGGTGTGCAAGAGGTGATAACGTAAAGGTTAATGATTACATTTGTTTTATTTTTGTAATATAAATATAAAAATATTATCATTCTCTTTTTTCTTTTCTTTTTTTTCTTTCATAATTTATTTAAATATGAATATAGATTATTAATACCCTTCATAATTAATGTTATACTTTTTTTTCTTTTATTTTTTTATGTATTCAAACGAAATCTTAAGATTTGCTTAATATATATTTAATATTTTTAATATAAAATATATTATAAGAACAAAATTATAATTTATCAATATAAAAATGCTACGTAACAGAGTTATCTATCCCTAATTCCCTATCCCACCACGCAACCAGATGAATTTTCAATCCACGCCTTTATCCCCATCCAAAATCACTTGAACAACAATCTAAACTGGGTGGTTGTTTTGATATCCCTAATCCTGTGATTGTGTTTTTAGCTAGCTTAATTAAGCTTTTGAGTGTTGGAACCAAACTCAACTCAAGTCTGGTCCAATTCTCTCTTATGTCCCATAATAAGCTGAAGACTTCAACAAATAATACGTTATGATATTTTATATAGTATATACTGGAGACATAAGGCTTGTTTGTTACTTCCAAAAAAAATTAACTTGCATCAGATTCTATAACAGACTTGAATAGGAATTTGGTGTTTTTAAGTAATAAAAAATTTTCAATTATGGGGTGTTAAATATCGACATAGTTGTAACGATTGCATGTGTAATGGACTTTGCATGAAGTAATTAACAATGCTTCTGTATTTTTCGCATTTAGTTTTTGATGTCTTTGTTTTTGTAGCAGTGAGCAATAAGAAAATTTTGTTTGGTAAAAAATATTGTATTTTGCACAATGTAAAAATATTTTTGGTCAAAAATTAAAACATTAATTTAATATTTTTATATGTTTTAGCACGGTAATAGTGGGTACGGTAGCGATGAAAATTCCTAAATAACATTTATAAACTAATTATTATATTTTCAAACTTATAAAACTTTTTCATCAAATACATTTTTATATTTTTACATATAAACGGTGCCAAATATAATTTCGATTACTATTTAAAACACAATACAACAAAATATTTGTTTTATTTTCTTATATCAAGATATATTATTTCACAAGGTGTGGGTTCCACTCAATTCACAGATGGGATTACGTGGGAGATGATCCACCATCATGAAAAATATGGACCGCTAGATGGCATTTTATAAAGGTTTGACGATGTGGGCCAGATGAGTGAGTGCTTTTTATCTACTACTAACATTTTTAGACAACATATTGAATTTGATATAATTTCAAGTGGTCTCATAAATAATTACTGAGTGGTTAAGTAAAGAAACAAGCTTATTGTTGATTAACTAATTAAAACTTTCATCTCCAAGAGCATAGTGGCATACTGTATTTTTAATTAAATGGTGCATATATTATAGAGTTAAAAAAAAAAAAACTAATTAAATTTTTTCATTTTCTTAATTAGATAATACTTACCTACTTTACTTATTAGGTGCTCTCTTATAGTATGTGATATAGTGACTTTAATGTTTGTTACTTTTATGATTTTTTATTCAAATATTATGTATGCATTTGTGATAATATCACATTAGCGGCTAGAAGTGAGCACTTACTCATCATAAGGAAGTTTTTTCATTGTCTTCTTGAAATTCTACTAAATATATTTATTATTTACAATGTATTATTAATATATAAAACTATTCATCACAACCTCAAAAAAAATAATGTAATTGTCCATTGAAAAACACATTCGGTTTAAAATAACATATCATGTGACATAAGTAGAAGTCATAAATTTGTTCACAATGAACAATTTACTTTGAATTCACAACATAGGGTGTTTTGAATTCACAAAATGAAAGATAATTTCAGAAAAATTTGATATTTGTATTGAAAATTGAATGAATGATTTTAATTTCTGCATTAGACGTATCTATAATGGAAGAAAATCATAGTCCATAAGGAAACCAACTGGGAACAAGAATTCTTATAACATAAGGAAACCTAATCTGAAAAGGATATTAATATTCCAAAATAAGCCTAAAAATAAATTTTATGTATTTACAATCCATCGGTGTGTAAACCAAGCCCATATGTATTTACAGTGGTCCCAAATCGAATCACGAATCCTTCCTAACATAACAGTTTCTAGCCCCAAGCCCATATGTATTTACAGTCCATCAGTGTGTAAACCTCTATCCCAAGTCCATTTCTTATCCCCAAGCCCATTCCCCTTTTAATCTCATCGACAACTCACTACATTCATTATCTGTTCTCTCACTCACTCACTCACTACCCCCATCCGCAAAAACCACCACTTCCCCGTACACCCGACTAGCAGCGGCAACACTAATCGGAAAATCGAACCCACCGATCGGGCTCGAAACACGCCTCCTCAGTCATCAGGTATCAAACTCCTACTCCCCTCTTCTGATTTCTTGTTGTTTATGTTTCTATATCACACACACACACACACACACACACACACACACATATATATATATGTTTGTATTTATATATATATATAACTTTTAAAATTTTCTCTCTTTTGTCATGACAATATAGGTTGCTTTTATGAAAGAAGAGAGTTGATGGGAATGGGTGGAGTAGGGGAAAAAATAGGTATGTTTTTTTGAGATACTATCATACTTGTTTGATTAGATGCTCTATCTTGTACATTGCGGATGTGACAATAATTATTAATTGCTTTTTCTCATTCATTCTAAAAAAATTATGTTCACTCCTCGCATTTTCTTTATTTCTTTATCCTCTTCTTCTATCTTCTCAACATCCACTCATATTTATATTTTAGTGGTGACAAATTACATTAAATTTAGCCAAAATAAGTTTTGTTGGGCCTTTGTGAAGTTGTTCTGGATATGCTCCCCTCTTGAGCGCTCTTTAATGAAAGTAACTTATCACGCCAAATCTTGTCTTGAGTTAATTTGGTTAGACTTCCCTATAGTCTAACCAAATTAACTCAAGACAAAATTTGGCTTTAAAATAGTTTATTTATTATTTTTTTTTTTCCAAAGGTTTTATTTCTTCAAAATTGGAATAGTAAGCTCAGTTAAATGAAATTCATTAATGTTATGTTTCAGAGCACCCAATCAGTAATTTAAATTTAAAATTAGAGGAAATTTAGTTAAATGTGAATTCCGTTACAATTAATCTTTAGGGGGGCAAATTCAGCTACTCATGAAGTCAGAATTCTAGCTATTAATAAAAAGTTCAATCAAGTTTTTGACACAGATTTTCCTGGGACTCTTGTTGCTTTGACTTCCGCTCACTATTTGTGTTGATGTACCCAGTTTTATATCAATGTATCTTTTCTTGCATTTGGAAAAAAAAAAAAAAAAAATAGTAATATTTTTTTATATTATAATTTAAAAGAATAATGATTTGTAATTCGAATTAGGACTAGGGGTAATATGTTTGTACTTAAAGGGGAGCAATTGCATGTACCGTTAAATCTCAGACCTATAAACTTTGTGAGGGCACCAAAATCAAATTCTTATCCACTAAAAAAATATTTTTATTTTGTTTGTAGCTTTAACTTAATATCAATTATTATAATTTTGTTTCAAAATTTAAAATAATGTTACTAGTTAGATTAATAATCACCAATAAGCATAAAAAACCATCAAATTTCAACCTTAATCTTATATATATGAATAATTCGTAGTTACAAGAATATAAAAATTATAAATTTGTATGCATTTCGGATTAGTAGAACTTTTGTCCAAATTTTGGACAAAATAAAATTCGACTCATCTAGACTCAATCCCAATCCCATCATCTCAATTTCATTATAAATGTAATTTCTTTGGAGACGACTCGAATTGCACAAATGAGGCTAACCTAAGTCCACACCTACAAAAAAAAACCCTTGTTCATACCAACAAGACCTGTAACTTAGTGTTTTTTTTTTTCCAATTTCAAAGGCAAAGGGTTATTTTTCCAAGAGCATTGGGATGAAAAAATTAAATAAATAAATAGAAAAAAAAGGAAAAAAAAGGAAAAGAAAAGAAAAACTCCAGAAACCTCTACTCTAGGTAGGTGGTTGTCTGGAACCAAAAATAGTCGTCCGGTCCAAACCGGCTTGACAGTTAACCGAGTCGCCCCCGATCTAACCGAGTCGCCCCACTTTTTTTTTTGTCTGCCAAGACAAAACGCGTGACTCTCCTCATACCCGCTGTTTTTAATTTCTATTTGAAATTTGTACCACGTATATATGATCAACCATTTTTTTAGTTAAGGGTATATGATCGACCATTTCTCATATATTACCCACAAGTTTGCAAAGTTCTCCGTGAGTCTGTTCTTTTCATTTTAATTTTGGAGGTTCGTTCGAATTTGAAATCTGTATGTCTGTTCTTTTCATTTTAGTTTTGGAAGTTCATTCGAATTTTTAGAAACTTTTGGAAAATTCAGTTCGACAGTTTTTGAAAAGTTAGGTTATAATACACATACACGAAACAATCTTCTTCTTCTTATCATTTTAATTTCGATGTCCGTTCAAATTTTCATCAAATTTGGAAACTCTTGCACTTCAAATCCAGTTCGATAATTTTTTCTTCGCAAAATTAGGTATATAGATTCATAATCGATCTTAGAGAATTTAAGTAAAGTTCGTTGAATTTCTTCAAAATTAGGTATATAGAATTCGCAAAATTAGGTTTATATATTATTTGCTACGTAACTTCAAAAATTTATATCAAAACTCTGTTACATGATTTGCTTTTGTCACATTTCAGTAATTGTTGGTGTACTGATCGGCCAGTTGATCTCATTTTGTTGTGCCGATTCTCAGGAAATTAAGTTGAGAACACACTAATATCTATGTTTAATACTTTTATTTTATAACGCCTTTTGAATTTGACGTAGGTGTAGAGTCCTGGTTATATAGCCAACGATTACTTATATGTATATTTTTATTCATTTTTTATTATTATTTTGAAATAAAATTTTATAGATCTTGCACAATATGTGATTTCTAATTTATATTTCTAATACATCCGTAACCTTTTGTTTTTTATCTTAGAAATTGCCTATTAGTAATCTGTCTCCTACCTGTTATTTTTCTCTAATTTTACAAAATTTTATTTGAAAACTTTGTTTTATTTTATACTTTGATCCACAGAGTTCTATCTGTGTAAATATATCAGTTGTTCAAATTTTGAAATCAGCTGTGTCTTCCTTAGTCTAATGCTCTTCATGAAGTACTAAAAAATTTGCACTAAATTTCTCTCTCGCTAGTGGCAGCAACTAGTCACCAAAGGTCTGCCCTCTTCAACTTTTACTCTTGGTCTATATTTTGTTCTAATTTCATGTATATATATATACATATATATATATATAGGTATGTATATACCATATATATCTCTCTGTGTCTATATGTTGTTCTAAGTTCATGTGTGTATATGTATATGTATATATCCTACGATCTTATGATTAGCCTGTCCAAATCTATTATACTTAATGAGCAGCAAACATGATGGAATGTTCTCATCTAATTAAATATGTAAAGTATAATACTGAATCTATACTAACAATGAAGAACCAGTCAGGAATTTTAGTCAGACGACATTAAGAGCTGAGTGTGAATTTATGATTTTACCATCAATAGTTGTTATTTTGTTAAGTTGAAAAGTGTTGATGATAAATTCGTTGTTTTGTTATAGAGTTTTATTGCCCTAAGCTGATTCTGTCTTTGATATTTTGTTGATCGTTAATATACTTTAAAATATGAGTAATTTCTAAATCTTAGGCATGTTCTTTGAGACTCGAGATATTTTGAGTTATGCTTTCCAATTTTAGCGAGTGTCTTTTGATTGTTTTCTGCTTTGAGTCAGTAATTGATTGATTAACCCTTCGTTACACAAGTATATTCTGGTGGTTACCGTGGTTTGGCTTTGAATTCATTATTCACATTGGTACTTTTTATTTGATGATTTTTTTAGCATCATTTCTCCTAATATTTCTGTTTTTCTATTCAAAATTGTTCAGCTAGTTGATTATTTATACTTTAATTCCTTGATTTGTTTAGTGCTCTTTTACCACTAATCTGTTTGTTAATTACAATATTTGATTTGGTCAAATTTCGAATTTAAAACTTTTAAAAAATTGTGATAGATTTTACCATGACCAAGGGAAAAAGAGGGATTGCGGGACATTGAGACAAAACCAGTTTAAGCCCCATAGTAATCTTCGTTTTTGGACTTTCTCAGTCAGCTGACGTAAGTTCTTTTAAAGCAAACATGTCAGCATATATATCCCCAGAAGGAGCTGCTAATGAGGTTCCTGTACTTGCTTCTCAGAAGTACACAGTACGCCCCAGAAGGAGAATGAGGTTCCTGTACTTGCTTCTCAGAAGTACAATCTATTTCTTCTTTTCCTGAGTTGTTTTCTTCCACTTTATCTATCTTCTAATATAAATGTTTTTTTTTTTCAGTTCTTAATTGCTCCACATGGAGATTTGCTGTCCTACATGGGGGTGGGAAATGCAGCTGATGTTATAGTCTTTATTACATCTGCACGAGAGCAAATTCATGCTTTTGGAGCCGAAAGTGTTTTGGTTTTTACTGCATTAGGATTTCCAACAACGATGCTCCTGATTCAGGTATGGTTTTTTCGTTCCGTTAATGAATTATCAATTTCCAGATGTGTGTGAGCTTATGATTTGTGACATGTCTTTAGGATCTACCTTCGGAGTTGAAGGAAAAAAGTAAACTAAAGAATGAAGAGTAATGACAGGGGAACCGAAAAGAAATTCCCGAATTAACATGTGATTGGCCATTCTTATCATGTGTTAAACAATTATTTTTGGAAACTATTTAAATAGATGAGGTATAAACAATTATTTTTGAAAACTATTTAAATAGATGAGGTGGACAAAAATGCGTCAGATCCGGTGCATGTTGGGGTTAATTCTTCGATCTCCCTATCATTATTCAAGAATGAATATATCAGGCATTAAGAAGAGACTCCCAAAGGATTGTCAATCTTTTGGAGTTAATGAGCTACATAAGGTAAGGTTTCAAAAAATAAAAACAAATGTCCTAAGTTTGTGCTTTTCTTATTAAGGCTTATATTAAAATATGTTTGGCAGCTTAAAGAGAGAAGCTTGAAGTTCCAAGCTGGCGTCAAATAATATATCCTCAAAAAAACTTAACAAACCAGGACAATGACCCACCAAGCTCAAACCCAAAATACGAAAGAAAAGTATTAACGAAGCCTAGCAATAAAATTAAAAACATGAAGAAATAAATTAGAAATTGAAAGACTTAAAAACTTGATAATATGCATATAACATTTCAAAGATCAAAATATTTGTTTTCCATATTTTGGATCTATAACACGAAAAAGTCGGAAACAGATGATAATGTAAGAGATGTGCGGAAAACTTGTACTAGCAGGCAACACCATTTCATGCTTAAATTTTCTCTAAACAACTAATCCTCGGAGTTATTGCTATAGCTTTTCATTTTTCATGTTTGGTTCCAATAGTTGTTACTATAACATTATCGCCGTTTGAATTCTTCGCTCTACCGGGTTCTTTGCTACAAGTGTATTGTATGATTTAATTAAGTCTGTTCTTCAAAATATTATTTCAAATTTAAATTAAATAAAAGGTAGTTATCAAATTCAAATTATGTAGGTTGAGGTGGCAGCCCCATCGTGTGATGTCATTATGACGTCTTATGATGGAACCCATCACCCGTCACATAAATTCAATATGGTAATTACAAAATTTGGTCTTAATTCATTGAGTTAATAATTTTGAAACTAAATATAATGGTGTTCAAAAAAGTTTCAATTTCCAATACAATTATTTCTAATTTCATCACATTACTTCAAACTTAATATAATGTGTTGAAATTAAATTTAGGCTATGTTTCGCGTATATGGAAATGGAGTTTTGGAATTTAAATTAGGAAAACTCAAAAACTAAACTACAATTTTTTTCTAATTCCATTAATTTCAATTTAAGAATTCTAATCCTATGCAGCCAATTTTGTTAAGCACGGTATGATGATGCAATCTACAAAAAAACAAAATAAATAAATAAAAATAATAATAATAATAATCCCCACTTACACATCCACTTTGCGTTCATTTTGAGAAGTAGAAAAACTGGATTACACGGCTTTGGTAACCTGATCTACTTCAAAAATACTTACATGTGTGTATGTATTATATAATAAATTTTTTTTAACATATATACACACACACATATATATATATATAGTGATGAAATTGTTATATATGACCCCTAACACCTCTCTGTTTTAGGTCGCTGTCATACCGACTCATGCCACTGATTTCGTTACAATAATTAAATGATATTTTTGTAAATCCATTTTGATGATTGCAACATCAACCCTACGAGAAGCACTTAATCAACTGACTTGTTCTTGCGGGACTCAAACAGCACTTCGGCAAGATGCTATGACTTCTCAGAAGCCCTTCTTGTCTATAATCTTCAACCCCCGCTTTGTTTTTTTTTTTGGTTGGTGTTGTTGTTGGCAAAAAAGCAAGGAAATGGAAAGAATGAAAATTATACGTTTGTCGTTTCCGAATCTACATCACACATCAATTTTTAGAGGAAAAAGTCACTACAAAATTTATAAGATATTTTTCTTAATTTGGCCACCAATCTGTCTCTCTCTCTCTCTCTCTCTCTCTCTCACACACACACACACACACACAAACAACTTTAATCAAAATGATCATACTATATCTCATAAAATAACTTCTTTAAAAACAATGCCATACGAATTTCTTTCCGTTACATTTTTAGGCCACAACATTACAATTAGGTATGGATTGATTGAATGGGGTACTTGACATACACATTTTGTATGAGTCAAAATTTCAGCATCTTAGTTTGGATCATCTACCCATTAAATATAGGAACAAAGTAGATGTGAGAACTTTTGTCTTTGATTATAGGTCAAAAGAAGCAAATCTAAAATAGATATGTGTGTTATATTTTAGGGTTAATTACAGTCAAATCTCCTGAGGTTTATCTTATTGACAGTTAGATGAAAGTTAGCCCTTTTTTGAACAATAACACCCCCTCAAGTTTGCTCCCTTTAACGGAGACACCCGTAAACATCGTGACACATGATAAATAGGGTTTAAAACCCCAAACTGTAAATCTTCGAATTTCAGTCCAAACTTGCATGATCTTCGTATATCTATTAATGCGAGTGAGTGAATTGTGTGAGAAAGACGAATGATACGGAGAGTCAGTGGATGATTCACTTAGTGTAAATGAACGTATTCAATGCCAATTTTTGTTGATTCGCTTGGTATAAATAAGCGAGTTGATTTTATAACTTTTGTAAAGATTGAGGCAGTCACCAAAAAAAATTAAGAAAGCGTGAGTAATTTGGTAATAATGTATGTTTACTTAACGGACATTTAAAGTCACTCTCTTAGAATAATTAAAGGGGAACTTTTTACTAAAAATATTTATAAGGGGGATTTTTTACAAACGGGTGAAAATTGAGAGAGGTTTTTTACTATTCGCCCATATTTTTATGTGTTTGGGATTTGATTTTGTCATCACAAGTAGTACTAAAAATTCTTGGGTTTGACATCTTTGATCTTGTCATATAATTTTTTTAAGTTTAATTTATTTAATATGTAATTTTTTATTTGTTGTTTCATCCATTTGGGAAGTTCCAGGCAATAAAAAGCCCCACCAAATACTTTTATCTTTATAGGAATCACTTTGAGCCTGTTTTTGCTTTAACTCAAAGTAAAAGTAATGTTTTCTGTTTCAAAGTGTGTTTAATACTATTTTGAAACTAGTTTGGTAATGTTCTACAAGATTTTTATAAACAAAAATATAAAAGCATATTTGGTAAAAAATGTTGCAAGTTTAAAAAAATTAAATGACTAGTTAAAAATGTCATTTACGAAAATTTTATTTTTTGAACCGTACTTTGTTACAATGTGAAAGCAAACATAAACAATCATTTTTATACTTTCAATTTTGAAAGTACTTCAGTAATATTCAAATGATAATAAATATTATCAAACATGTTTTGTGCTTTTGTATCGATACAATGATGGTACACTAAAAGAAGCCAAAAAAAAAAAAAAAAAAAAAAAAAACGCGAAACAAAAACATTAGTCAAATAGACCTTTTCTATCTCAACAACCGCTCAAAAATACTAAAAGTAATAATAATATTATTATTATTATTGTTTTGCCAGCACCATAATTACTTTAATGTATATAAATTTTTTTTAAAAAAAAATAACAGTGGGAGAGAATCTTATTATATTCGAATATTATTTATGGATAGGCTTTTAAAATTATTTAAAGCAATAAACTTGTTAGAAACCTATTGGTGTGAACAGAGATAGTAATTGCTTCTTCATTTTACACGTTGTTCTTGCAATAACTAAATATTATTACTTTAAGAACGTAAGCAACATGTAATACGTAATGTCTATATAATTATAGTATAATTTACGGTTACATATCATATGTATCTTACTAAAATAATCCGAATTAAGCTGACGGCATTGAAGAATTCGTGGCTTTGATATGGTCCACGTCATTTTGGTTCCCAAACAATTTTACCAACATTTTGGTTCACAACTAAAGATGAGCTGCTCATCATTGAGCACGTGGCATTGCCAACATATTATTACTGTATATTTGATCATCTGTTCCACACATGGCTTAGGTGTCAATCAGTTTCTTGGTTCACACAGATGATCAAAGTCAATGACTAATGTTATATATCCTATGAATAATAATATACGACTATACGTTAACTATTTATATAGTTATTTAATAAAATATTATATTGTCGGTAGAGTCCAATTAAATCTATAGGAGGAATCAGTCTGATGACGAATAGAAAGACAGATCCAAAATTTGTGGCTGAAGCTGAAGCAGCATCTTTTATTTCTTTTGTTAAAATTTTATCCACATAAGACTAGAAAAAATGTTAATTAAATTATTAAATTTTGGAGTACTGATATAACCTTGACTTATGTTACCAATGATATCCACAATTTTTCTTTTATCACTATATTGGTAATTCTCTCACACACACTTTGATATTTTCTCACTTAATTTTTTAAAATACCTACTATATATTTTGTGTTTTAAATTTTAAAAAAAGTAAAGTAAATTTATTTTCTTATTTTTTCTCATTCCACATCCATGATAATATGGGAAAACATATAGTTAAAAGATCAAATAATTTGAAACAATTGAGTCACAAAAAATTAAAATTTTATATTTATTATATTATTTAAAAAAATTATCTTAATCTTCAATTTTTTTTTTTATTCTTTGACTGTGCTCCCCAAAGAAGGAAAAATAAAAAATAAATAAATAATGATCAATGAATATAAAAATTGAAGATTATTGAGCACAACGTCAAATATTCAAATTTAATAAAATAATTTTACCCGTCCTTTTATATAAAATACAATGTAATATAAGGGTTTTATTGACAATTTTGCCCTTTCTTGATATAAAATACAATTATAAAGATAATTTAGTATGGGTCGCCGCTCTCCACTTGTCAAAATTCGAAAGTATTTCAGTTGACTTGTGTGAATGACTTCCGTGACAGTTGGGTTGATGTCATGCTGGAAAATTGAAACCTTTACAAGATTTGAAAGTGCGACATTTGGTCCACGAATGAATGCACTATTTCCTAGACTTATGTGAAAACTAGAGAATGTTAGTGTAAGGCTATTTTGTTAAAGAAATACCTCATTTCTTTAATTTAATTTTATTCGATTCATTTTATACTCTACTAGCTACCATACGATGGGTATGCTATATTGCATGTTATTTTTAAAATATAGTAAGTGGGTTTAAAATGAAGCTTTCCAATACAAAATTATATTGTCAGTCAAAATTTTAACTTTGTCAAAATTGATACAAATTGTAACACAAGAAATTGCATTAGCTAATTGAGAGAGAGAGAAGGTTTCAGATATATATATATATGTGAAATAGCTATATATATATACTCTCTCAAATAGCTATATATATATATATATATATAAAAGATCATTAAATATTTCACCAAATAGGATTTAGTTTGCAAAACAAGAATTACAGACCTTGATTACAAAAAAAAAAAAAAAAAAAAAAAAAAAAAAAAAAAAAAATAGAATTACAGACCTTGATCATAAAAACAGAATTACGAGAAAAAAAAAAAATTTAAAACAAAGCCCATACATACAAGTTAGCAGTTGCAAAGAGAGAGAGAGGGGGGCAAGTTTGAGAGTTGAGAAACAGCGGCTGAAGCTTGCGAAGGGCGAACCCAAACTGGAATAGCGGGCGATGGAAACTGAAAGATATGAGTTTTGATTTTTTGAACAATCTGAAATGATATGGTTGAGAGGGGGCAATTTTAGTAAGAACGAGAATAGAGATGGAGGAAATTGGGGAGGCTGAAATGATTTGCCCTGAATATATACTATATTTTTTCCTGGGTCATGGGCCTATAAATTATATAGTTAATTATATGGGTCATGGGCCTCTTTTTTTTTTTTTTTCTTTTGTATTTGTTTTTGTTTTTTTTTTTTTTTTTTTGTTTTTTTTTTTTTTTGGTCCTTTTTTGACCAAATATTTTACATTTTTGTTCTTTTTAATTAGGTTTAATTTTAGTTTTCTTCTAATGTCTACAACTTGATTTGGAATGTGCCTAATATTAATATTACTGATGCAAATATGAATGGTGAGAATAGTTGTTGAAAAAGAATCGTGCTTGTGTCAAAAAATAACATTTTACATGAAATGTACCATTGCAACAAAATTGATAAAATTTAGTATTTTGACACTGTAGCACATGTCAAAATATAGATTTGATATGTAAAAATAACTTTTAGCATTGAATATGGTCTAATAGATTAAAATGATCTTCATTACTTTTTCATTTTCCTAAAATTTAATGACACAATTTAATAGATCACAACATGAATTGAATTTTCTCATTTTAATCAAAATAAAATTAATCATCTAACGTGATATGTTGTAAACTATTTAAATCAAAAGTTGTGATAAGGAGATAACATGGCTTGCATATGTACAATTGATGAAATAGACATGACCAAGGATAAGATAGTGCCACTCTCGTTAGCACTTGCTACTTCTTCAAAATAGATAATATCAATCACAAATTAGGTGAAGCAACAATTCACTCATTAGTGAAGTTGCAAACATTTTGAACCTTAATTAGCTTGCTATGGTTCCCAAATATCAGGATCAATAATAAGTTGCAACCAGAAATATTGGAGAGTAATAAGTCAAAATTGCCCTTCACACTACTCCCAGAAAGTTCCATCCAAACAAGGGCAGTATTGTCTTCTCATCTCTCTGTCTCTGTCTCTGTCTCTGACCAGCTGTTCATGTTGGGCTTTGTCCAAGTGTAGACAAAACCTTCAGAAACAGTGTGCAATGGCACAGTTGAAATACAGCTCAAACATAACGTATAGGGCTTGAAATCCCAGCTCCTATTATTTGAATTGCTCCACAAGCTTGCAATAGTAGTACAAATTTACAAACAAGTGGGAAAAAAAAAAAAAAAAAGAAAAATCCCACAAAAAATTTGATTTCAATGTTAATTTTGACATTGTTGTTCTGTTGTTGCCAAGAGTGAGAATGATCAAGGAGAATACATAAAACTAAACAAACTTGTAAAATCAGCTGAAAACAATTTCCTTCACTTCCATTTCTTTTCCTTTCCTTTCCTTTCCTTCTACTTTGTGTAATCCAATACTTGAAAAAGAAAAAAAAAAAGAGGAGAAAAATTAGTGTCACGTTTCAAGAAAACCAGTCATCCTTAGAATTGAATTTCTGACTTGGCTCAAGTCTCGTCCTTTGAGAGTCCTCCCATTCCCAGTGCAAACTGAGAACTCCATTTTACCGGCAATTCGGCGGCCGACGATCACGTGAGGGGGCACCATCTCTCCGTCGTTGTCGAAGGAATCGGATTCCACGCACTGAAAACGCGAATCTCCGGGAACATTTTGCCTGATATTGACCGGAAGTGAACTATTCTTCTTCTTCTTGGTATTGGGTTTATTGGGTGAATTTGAATGAGCTGGGAAGTGGTAGTCATCGTGGTTGGCTGCAGTATTTTCCGGGAAAATGACCTCGGATTCTTGGAATTCTTCTCCCATGGAATAATATTTAAGGTTGGAAAGTGGGTTTTGGAGATTGAGGAATTGGGAAGAAGAGGGAAGTGTAGAGGCATTTATAGGGACAGAAAGAGGTGGGTTTGGGTTTGAGTTGTGAGGGTGGTGATTGATTGATTGCGGAGAATCTAAATCGTAGTAACTACATTTTTTATAGCGTCACTGTAAAGGAGTTGAGAGCGGTCCCCTGTTTCTTCTCTCTCTTTTCTTTCACTTTCTCTCTCTAAATTACTAATTAAGCTGCCTAAACAGCTCATTTTCTTGTGGCTCACGGCTTTTCTTGTTGTAGCTTGTATAATGTGTATTATATAATTGAATTGCTAATATATATATATATATTGGATATAATTGAATTTGTCGTGTTCTTTAGTTACGGCAAATAACTCCGTTACTTTATTTTTAACTAGTTAATACTTAATAAAAAAATGGATAATGAAAATGAGCTGAATTTTTATCTTGGATAAAATTAAAATTTTGATCTTATCCATTTTATTTATAGAATATAAATTCTTCATCACAATTCTCATATTACAATATTAAGTTTGAATAGCATTATTCATAAAAAAAAAATAATAATAATAAAAAAAAAACCTCTCAGGCAATCAATGTATCACTGATTCACCGAAAACAGGCCCTCTTAATGTTCAATTTCGAAAAATCTACTAATTCAACAATTGAGAGGTAAGAATGTTCACATTTTGGCATTTTATTATTATTATTATTTTCATAAATTATTATTATTTTTTGTTAGACAATTAACTATCGAAATTTTTTTGATTAAGCCGAGTGTACGGTGCATCTTATTCATAGCACTGGTGAAGTTCAATTTATTTTTATTTTTATTTTTTGTTTTTTTGAGTAAGGTGCACCATACAGCCCTGCTCAATCAAGTTTTTATCTGTTGGACCAAATGCTTTGAAATTCAGTTTTGGCTACTAATTCAAAATTGGTGAAAGATAAAGTATGTAATGGTGTTGATATCTTCACTTTAATGTGGACATTCATATGACCAGCACTCACATATTGAAATTTGAGAACTAGGATAGGATATGCGTGTGGAAGTGCTTAACATAGAAAATTAATTAAGGTGGTTAGGAAATTTATTCCCGGGTCAGGTATGGTCGCTTTGATTGAATTGAATTGCATTACATAAATGGCCTCATGCACATGTAATGGTGTCATCTTTGTTGATAAAATTGAAGTATAATTTATGATGAAAATGATGCTGATAGAGAGTTATGCTAAACCAGACGTCGTTGTTGATCAAATTGAATATTATTGATTGAATTGAGATTTCTACTCTTTTTTTTTCCCTGCATATATTTGTATTAGTAGAAAAAATTTTAACAACAACAAATTTTATTTTATTTTATTATTATTATTTTTTTAACAGAGCCTAATTTAAGCATTATATTGATTAGTCAATTTTTTACTGGCTTTACTTGTTAATATATTTCAGAGCTGTATGATGTACTAAAGCAAATCCATGCAAAGCAATTGGAAGATCAATATATATATATATTTCGGGTAACTCATTATTTAATTACCTCTTAATGATAAAGTCAAAAGTGTTTATCCATTCACATTCATCATCCAAAACAAAGCATTAAACAACAAAACTGGTTTATTATCCTTTCTAAGGTGAACATATATACAACTGATAAAAGCGTACAAGCAATTAATATTGGAAACAAATACAAGATCATATATAACTTTTGACGAGTGCTAATTGCAGTTTTACAAGCGATTGTGAAAGGATAGTTGCAATTAGGATAGGTTAGTTTAAATATTTTAATTATTCGAGTTTCTATTTTCATGGAACTCTATAAATAATAATTTTTTAAACAAAAATATTCTTTTAAATTATCTAACTTTTATTCTTTTCTTCTCTTTTAATCAATTTATATGGAGATGTGTGCATGTATATATATATATATATACTAAAATGGAAAATAGATAGTTTTTCCATTTGTTTTGCTGGCTTTTGTTATTCAAAGCAATGGAAGTTAGAGAGAGTAGTGTTGGAAAGTTGCCTTGGTTGGTATATTTTGATTTTAAGTTGGTCCATCGTCATTTACCAAGTAGGTCGGTTTTTTCAAGTTGAGTGGAATAGCAGTGCTCTACTAAAATAATTAGTGTTATGTGAATGGATTCTAAAAAAGAAAAAAAATATATATATATAGATAGGATAATCCATTCATAAGAGATGGATCGATTCTGAAAAAAAATAAAAGAAAGGAGAAAAAAATAAATAAATAAAAGGAAGGAGAAAAAAGAAAAGAAAAAAAAGAGCCACTAAAAAATCCAAAAAGAATAAAAAGAAAGGTTAAAAAAAGAGCGAGAAAATAATCATACAAGATGGATTCTGAGATCGATTATATATTTCTTCTTGTAACTATCCTCGAGTGAATAAATTCTTTTCTTTTTTTTTTTTCTTTCCTTTTTGTTTTTTCATATATATATATATATATATATGTTTCTTTTTGTTTTTATTTCTACAACTATCCTTGTATAAATGGATTTAAAAAGAAAAAAGAAAAAAAAGAAGGAAATAATTCATTTATCAAGGATACTTGTAAAAAGAAATATATATGTGTGTGTGTATATATATATATAACTAATTTTGTATTTTTTTTTTTAAATCTCACAATCTATCTTGTATATATATGGATTATTTTCCTGCTTTTTTTTTTTTTTTTTTTTTTTTTTTTTTTTTTAAGCTCTTTTTTCTCCCTCATAATCCATTTCTTGTGAATGGATTATCTTATTTAAACTTTTACTTTTTGTTTTTCTTCCTTTTTCATAATTCATTCATAAAATATTAGTTATTATATATATATATACACACACAGGCACACATCTTTATATGAATTGATTTAAAAAAAAGGAAAAAAAAAATGTTACATAATTTTAAAAGATATTTTTGTCTAAAAAATTAATATTTATAGAATCTCATAAAAATAAAAACTAAATAATTAATACATTTTAAAGTAATCAATCCTAATAAAGATTGTAAAAAGACAATAACACGCGCAACTGCAATTAGGATTCTGCAATTACAATTAGCACTCTTCATAACTTTATTTGTTTACCAATGAGTGTAAAAGGAAAACCTTTGTATTTTAGCACTTTTGTGGTTTCTAAATGCCTAGAGAGTCAAGACAAAAGTCATAACATTAAATGATATATTGACTATTATATACAGTATATATATATATATATTGCAAGATTTTAAATAAACATCTGGCAGAAGTCGTCAGAGCCAAGCGGAACGGATTTTGGTTGAACTAAATAAACCTTAGAGGTGCAAGCAAGGTAAATATTATTCGATAGGAGCGTAGGTGCAAAGCGATCATACACCTCTACGCATCCGACGGCTCTAGCTCCGTTTGAGTGTGTCCACTTCCCGAGGTCCACCTAATTCTCCGCACACTCGAATAATTCCATAAAAAATACACCACTGACAGATCAACACGTGTGAGGTCGTGTCGTCACACGCCACACACGGACGAAGGAATCTCAATTATTCCCTGCTTAGATGCCACGTTGCCCCCGCTGTTTGTTTTCGTGTCAAGTGTTTTAATCAACCGTGTAAGTCACTGTTCTAGAACCAAGTAAAACAATACATATATGTGTGTATACATGTATGTATGTATGTATATATATATATATAGAGAGAGAGAGAGAGATATGGTCCAATAAGAGAAGGGTTTTGACGTAATTGGATTTATTGGAGTGGTTTTATATGCTTTTTGAAGAAAATGACTGCACAAAAAATTTGGAAGGTCACTCTCTTGAAATTTTTCCCTCAAGTAGATGATTAGAAAGAAATAGGAATTATATTGAGATGATGATAATGACTTCAACCTCATCCATATTCAAACTTTGTGTATGTGAATATGTATGTGCCATCCTTTAATTATTTGACTTCACCGAATACACGCAATCTTGGCAAGTGTCAAATTTCAATATTCTGTTGCTTAAATTGAATGAAAAAACAGTGTAGTTATAATTGTTCTTGAGCCGTACATAAAGAATGGAATAAGGGATATTGTTTATATATTCTCTATTGATCTGTTCAAAGCTTTGTTTGAGAAATTAGAAAGGTTCTTATAATTAATGTGTCAAAAGGTTTAACGCTAATACATAGTTTGATACTAAGCTTTAACGTCACATCTTGAAAGCTGTTGATTCAAATCTTCTTAATTACTGATAAAATGTTTTTAAATAATTGTTTGACACATGTGAAGAGTGAATTACGATATTTATTATGGTAAATAATAATTAAACAGAAAAAAAATTTCAAAAAATTCTTAAATTTCTAAGTAAAATGGTAGAAAATGTCACATGCACACATCACAAATAGGTTTGATCGATCTTTGCTCATGGCTGGCCAATTAAGAAGGAAAAATTTGCGCAGGTAATTTTGTGTGTGTATTAATGAAGTGGTGTTTCACTTCCTTATATTTTACATTTATATGATCAGTTAAATGTGTTTCGTTAAAGGATTAACATTTTCTTTCATATATAATGGAAAACTGCGAAACTTGGGCAAAGTAAAAAACATATATTCTAGTATTGCAAATCTGATTTGCAATTATTTAAATTTATGAATAACTATGATAATTTGTTTTATCTCATATCCAAATCTCAATTTATTATATAAACTAGTATTTAGAAATTGAATGATAATAATAAAGCATGGTTAGAAAATGAATGAGTTAGCGTCTGCTTGGTTTGTTACTTAGAATATAATTTTTCTGTTTTCATAGAATTGAGAATCAGATAATTTGTTTTATCTCAAATCCAAACCTCAATTAATTATATGAACTAGATTTTAGAAATTGAATGATAATAATAAAGCATGGTTAGAAAATGAATGAATTAGCGTCTGCTTGGTTTGTTACTCAGAAAACAAATTTTCTGTTTTCATAGAACTGAGAATTGGATAATTTGTTTTATCTCAAATCCAAACCTCAATTAAT